AACCAGCCCCAGCAGCAAAACTAAAAGTTGCATTATTCTCCTTTTAAAAACCACATCCTCTTAACTACTAGTAGACATATTGGTAGTGTACTTACATTGAGAAACTGGGAGGACCTAGAGCAAACAAGACCCAGACAGCACACTGGATCACCATGATGAAGAAGAACCACATGAAGGCAAGGGAACTGTCCTTCCTAAACAATCAATCAGTAACTAACACTATAGATAGGGGAGGAGAGAGGGAGAGGGGGAGAAGGAGAGAGAGAGAGGAAGAGAGAGAGAGGAGGGAGAGAGATATTAATCATTATAAATGTATTTCCCTAAGCTGTACTGTGCTCACCTGTACTGGTGGCAGCAGCTGGTGATCTACTGGCCGATACCGTATAGCGTCAAATTTTCGTGGTTGAAAATTTTCGTGATTTTCGTGACTGAATGGACAATCACGAAAATATTTTTCACGAAATTTAATTTTGATATAAATGTGGGCGTGTCCCATCACGCCTTTTATTTGTTTCTCGGGCACAGGCTGCACAGCTAAGAGTCTCTCCTATAAAGGGAGTCCACCTTTCTTGGTATACGTGATAGCCACGGATACACGAAGGGAATTAATATCGAATAATGCTACCACTCATGTTGCTTCTTCTCCAAGTCCAGCTGGAAGGCTAGCTACTAGCGGCCACATGGATAGGAGTGGTTTTAATCATCACGAAATTTTATTTAAACTACAAAAATTTTTTAACGAAAATTTACTTGAAAGCAAAAATGTATGAAATCACGAAAATTTTCACCCACGAAAATTTGACGCTATATGGTACTTGAGGGACTCCTTCAGTGGAATCACTATATGAATAGTATTTCATTTTATTATTAAAATTACTTTCTCTCAATTGAGTGCTTTGGTATAATGTACTCAATCAGTTCCTGTATGTTACTGACAACCCTCTCTGATATCACCCTCCCTTTATCAGTATCCAGTGACCGCAACTTATACTGGAGGGGGAGAAGAGAGGGGAGGGAGAGAGATATTAATCATTATAAATGTATTCCCCTATCCACAGTACCTGGTTCCTAACTAGCAGTGAGTTGTCTATGATAATGAGGTGTGGTATGTGTCTCCTACAGCAGAAGTCCTGTAGGTCCTCCAGCTCCAGGTGGTGGTAGAGGTGATCCACTAAGAGACCCTTGAGGTCCCTCAGGTCCTGGACCAGCTTCAGACACTCGTCATGGAGAGGAATATCAGGATTCAATGAACAGATGAGCCCCTGACACTTACTCAAGGAATGAGACAGGAGGCTCTGTTAATTAAGTGTGTGGGTGGGAAGAGAAGAGATCGATAAAATTTAAAGGTATAGCTAGCCCACTTTAATAAATAAATAAATAATAATAATAAAGGAATCACCTGTCCAGTATCCACGTAAGTCTTACAGAGAACCTTCACTAGGACCTCCTCATTAATGGATACCCCAGAGAGAGAAGGTAAAGGAGGGAGAGAGGACGGAGAGGAATAGGGAGCAGACATTACTTGTCTCTTCTCCCTGAGACTCTCTAATAGTTTATTGTACTGGCCTCCTCTCGCTAGCACCAGCTGGGAAGAACCTTTACGGCTTTTCTTAGAATCTTCAAGGGAACAGAATGAGAATATTAGTCCATCAAAATAAGCCATGTTTAGAACCAGTCCTGGAGAAAAAAAAGACCTTTAACTGAAGAGAAAAATAAATAAATAAATAAATAATAATAAATAAATAATAATATATTACTTTCTTTAGAACTTTTAGTTTTTCCAGCTGCCTTTCAAGTAGTTTGAAATCCTGTAAAACCTGTTTGACGACTGATGCCTATAGGGAGGGTACATTAGACACAGGTGTCACTGATCATGTACTGTTGATTTGTTTCTAGTAAGAGGCTCCAGGAGAGAATGAGCTTCATCTAGAGGAACTTGACTAGTCAGCAGTTTAGTGAGAGTCTTCAACTGAGGGAGGGACAGAAAGAGATACTTCAATTTAGTGAAATTTGACAAGCACCCTGTACTATAGCCATAGATATTACACCCACAGGGATTGGAAACCGCCCACGCATTCTATAAATAGGCGTGAGCTATCCTTGTTTGCCGGGACACTTGAGCGGGTATGGTCACGTGAGGAAATTTAGGCAGCGCGGTGAGCGTGCTACACACTACAGTAGATATGGCTGCTTATACTCCATCTCAAAGCTATGCTACAAGTAATTTCTGCTTAGTTATTGTGTTTCTTTTACTTTAAAAAATTTACCAGATGATTTACAACTGCTTAAGATTGCTGTATCAGCTGTACTGACAGATGTGACAGA